AGGGGTAAGACGGGAATAAAGACGCAGACCTACTAGAGAATGGACTTGAGGATACGGGGAACAGGAAGGGTAAGCTGTGACAAAGTGAGAGAGAGGCATGGACATATATACACTACCAAAGGTAAGGTAGATAGCTAGTGGGAAGCATCTGCATAGCACAGGGAGAGCAGCTCGGTGCTTTGTGACCGCCTGGAGGGGTGGGATAGGGAGGGTGTGAGGGAGGGAGACTGCAAGAGGGAAGAGATATGGGAACATATGTATAACTGATTCACTTTGCTATAAAGCAGAAACTAACAAAAAAAAGTGTTACCATAAAATGCTTTTTAAAATTAAAATAAATAAATAAATAATCAGTGACCTAGGGCACAGTCTTTGTTCCTCTTTTTTATGCACACTCTATCCCTAGGAGATCTCATCCCGTCCTGTGACTTTTAAATAAGATCTAGATGGTGATAGCTCCAAAATTTACATCTCCTGTCCTGATCTCGTTCCCACACACCAGATTCATATATGGAACCGCTTGCTTGCTATTTCCACTTGGATTAAGAAGTATAATTTTCAACTCCCCTCCCAAACCTACTGCTTCCTCAGTGTTTCCTGCCCTATTTTATAGTAACTCTGTTTACCCATTTTCTCAGTCTTAAAACTTAGGAGTCATCTTTCATTCTTCCCTTTTCCTTCTACCCTTCCTCCAGTCTATTATCAAGCCCCTTTGTGTCTTTCTTCAAAAATATATCCTCAATCTGACCGCTTCTCATTGATTCCACTGCATCGAGATAAAACTTTTACAGTGCTTAGACCAGAACTTGGAAGCCGTCTCTTTCTCTTAGACTCCTATCTAATCCATCAGCAAATCCTGTCAACCCTGCTTGGGAATATATCCTGAATCTCACTGCTTTCCATTAACTATCACAGGTACCACTCTAGCCAAAGTCATCCTCATTTCCACCCTGAAATATGGCCACAGTCTCCTAACTGATCCCCCTCTACTCCACTTTCATGCTTGCCCCCTATAGTGCAGACTGATTTAAAACATAAATCAGATGAATCACCTATTTAGAACTCTTCATTGGTTTTCCAACATACCTACATTAAAATCCAAAGTCTCCACTGTGACTTGCAAAGCTCTATATAACCTGGGCAATGTCTACTTCTCTGAGTGTTTATCCTACTACTCTCCATTTCACTCTCTCTACCTGAGTCACACTGTACTTCTTCTACTAGGTGAAGACATGGATCTGATCTTGCTTCAAATGTTGCACTTGATGTTTCCCATACCTGTAACACACATTACCATTAAAATTCACATGGTTCACGTCCTCCTTTCATTTAGGCCTGAAATGTTAACTCCCCAGAGAGGTCCTCCCTGCCCAACCTATCTCAGAATTTGTTGATAACTTTCACCAAAAAGGATGGCCTGATGTAATCAGACTGACTTCACAGAGGCGGCTGACCTGGTGCACAGCCATCTGATGGAGGCTATATAACCTTATAGATAAAGCCCAAGCTTTGCATTCAGGTATCATAGGTTCAGCCCTTAGCACAACCACCAGTAATCAAATAGCTATGGGCCTCAGCTTCCTCATCTGTAAATGAGGAATAAAATTAAGAGTAGATATTATTGTCTTGAAAGAATTGATACGTAAGCTCACCAAATAATTTATCATCCAAGATGGGATAATCTGAGAGAAAGGGGACAGTTTTTATTTTCTCTGCATTTTATTTTTTTAATTACCATAAAGTAAAATCGACTTTTTTCTATCAGTTTTAACACGTGAAAAGTTCTATGAATTTTAACATACCCATAAAGTTGTGTTAACAGTATCACCAACAGTATAGAGAACACCTCAATAAACTCCCTTGTGCTATGCCTTTAAAGTTACGTTGGTGGCACATATATACAATGGAATATTAGCCATAAGAAGAAACGAAATTGAGCTATTTGTGATGAGGTGGGTAGACCTAGAGTTTGTCATACAGAGTGAAGTAAGTCAGAAAGAGAAAGACAAATACTGTATGCTAACACATATATATGGAATTTAAGAAAAAATGTCATGAAGAACCTAGGGGTAAGACAGGAATAAAGACACAGACCTACTAGAGAATGGACTTGAGGATATGGGGAGCAGGAAGGGTAAGCTGTGACAAAGCGAGAGAGAGACATGGTCATGTATACACTACCAAAGGTAAGGTAGATAGCTAGTGGGAAGCAGCCGCATAGCACAGGGAGAGCAGCTGGGTGCTTTGTGACCGCCTGGAGGGGTGGGATTGGGAGGGTGGAAGGGAGGGAGACGCAAGAGGGAAGAGAGATGGGAACATATGTATATGTATAACTGATTCACTTTGTTATAAAGCAGAAACTAACACACCATTGTAAAGCAATTATACTCCAATAAAGATGTTAAAAAAAAAAGTTATGTTGGCCCCCCATACCCCTTGGCAACCACTGATCTGTTCTCCATCACTGTAGTTTTGTTTTTTGGAATGTCATATAAACGGAATCATACAGTATGTAACCTTGATATTTTCTTTTTATATTCGGCATAATTCCCTTGAGATCCATCCAACTTGTTGCGTTTATCGGTAGTTATTTTATCACTGAGTAGTATGCCACTGAATGACTGCACCACAGTTTGCTTATCCGTTTACCTACTGAAAGACATTTAGGTTCTTTCCAATGTTTGGCAATTATGAATAAAGCTGCGTTAAACAGTAGTGTACAGGTTTTTGTGTGAACATAAGTTTTTATTTCTTTAGGGCAGGGGTCAACAAACTACACAGAACATTCATGTCACATCTGTTCTACCACCTGTTTTCTTAATAATATTTCATTGGAACACATTCACACTCATTTTTAAAAAAACATATTGTCTATGGCTACTTTTGTATTATAACAGAACTGAGCCGCTGTGACAGATATTTTATGACCTGCAAAGTCTAAAATATTGCCCATCTACCTCTTTATAGAAAAAGATTGCCAATTCTTACTCTTGGGTAAATACTCAGGAGTAGTATAACTGGATCATATGATAAGTGCCTGTTTAACTTTTAAAAAAGTATCAGGCCACTTTTTCAGAGTGGCTATACCTTTTTGTATTCCCACCAGAATTATGTGAGAGTTCTTGTTACTTTGCATCCTCATCAGCACTTGATAATGTCAGTATTTTTTATTTTGGCCATTCTAAGAGTTGTATAGTGGTATCTCATTGTGGTTGTAACTTGCATTTCCCTAACGGCTAATGACATTGAACATCTTTTTATATACTTATTAGCCATCCT